TATGAGCCTCAATAGCAAGTGGAAATTGGAACAAAGTCTGTCTATGAAGGAGTATATTCCAGGTGTGCTCACAGTATACAATTAATATTTACATTTTTAAAAATCACTACATATATTAGTTACTTTTCTCATCGCTAAGACAGAATACTTGATGTCCAAATTTAAGGGAAGAAAATCTTATTTATCTCACAGATTGTAGATGTTCAGTCCATAATTGGCTGGCTTTAGTTTAGGGTGGCACATGGTAGAGGGACAACGTTTCATGGCAGTGGAAGAGAGCAAAAGCAACAAGGGAGAGACAAGAGTCTTTCTGTTTCTTATATTGCGTGCCATCATTGATGCCATTTTCTGAAGCACTGCTTGGTAAGTACTCAGACAATGACAGGGCTTTAGCTCGAGCTCCATCACATTGCTGTAGTCACAATCGCAAGCTCTGCCACACAGAACACTGAGGGTGGTATGTGTAAAATACCATGTGGAGTTCTCTGGGATGAACTGCTGTGTGGCTGAAGATCTAAAAATTCATGGAGAAATGTTCTAAGACTCCTCCCCATACTGTGCAATGAAGCAGGATTCTAACTGAACTGATCTACCATTTCATTTGCGAGTCAAATTAAACATAGCAATTAAGCACCTATCGTAAAAAACAGGCATGTTTAAAGCTAATATTAAAATTTGGATTGGCAAGGACAATAAGATAAATAAATGAGAAGAAAATAAATCTAAATCCCTTCAAACAAACAAACAAGCAAAAACCCTAAATATATCAAACATCTTTTGTTGCTGACACCATGCTATGATTTGAGTTAAGAAGGGTAAGATAAGGGCCCTTTCTTAGAACTTCATACAGAGACTTCTCCATGTAGCATAAGAAATACATTAATATAAATAATTATATTGCAAAGGCATGCACATGTAGGCAGTTGGAAGACCTCAGTGGAAGGAGGAATTAACTGTTTCATGCAAGAGGTCATATGGAGATCCAAGTTTAGGGGATGAGTAACAGTTCATGGATGCATTAGATATCCTGTAGCTTCTTGAAATTATCATCAGTTATACTGCTGGGCAGACATAGCAAGATCAGCTCTTAGGTCCGGGATCACAGAGCTGATTGCAGTGATTCTGAAAGTCTAGAATCATCCCTTAGGAATTTGAAGAAGAATCTGAAGGAGAAGAAGAAGGAAGAGGAGGAAGAGGAATGAGGAGGAGGAGGAGGAGGACGAGGAGGAAGAGGAGGAAGAGGAAGAAGAGGAAGAGGTAGAAGAAGAAGAAGAAGAAGAAGAAGAAGAAGAAGAAGAAGAAGAAGAAGAGAGGATCAAAGTCTTATTCTAAAAAAATCATTATTGAATGTACAGCAGTCAGATTAAGAGGAACACCACCAGAATTGGGGAACCAGTTAAAAAATTTCTCTACTTCATGGAAGAAACAGTTGGCCCTGGAATAAATTGGTTCAGGGTTGGAGAAGACAAAAAGTGTAACCACCAAACATGCACTAAACATTTCTCCTGCTTTCCCCACTCATCCCTACAGTTAGAAATAATCATGGTTTCCATACATAGACCTTCATTTTACATTTTCATCCATTTAAACTTCCGGACGATCAAGCAAGTTATATTCATTAGATACCTTGTTTTTTGGAAAGAAAAATTGGGATATAACTAAGTGGAGTCATCCTTCAAGGACAGTCTGTACAGAGGGGTAAAGTCAGATATCAAAGTTAGATAAGTTGCCCAGTCTGTATTCTTCCACAAATCGGAAGTGAAATGGCCACCCCAATTAACCCTAAAACCCTACAGCTTCTATGGTTCAAAGGAGAGGGTTTTTAGATTTTTCTTTCAAAATGTAGAGTGTGAGGAATCTGAAAGTTTTTCATGACAGTTGCTTCTTGCTGCCACAGGATGTCACCATTGGAAACCTCCCTCCCAAAAGAAGAACTGCTGCCCCTCTGCAGAAATTCAGGGCCTAGTGGTTCTAGCAGGGAGGGACTGAAGGCAGCCTCACCCCCTTATACCAGAGCTGGATCCGGGCAGACCACAAATTATTCTATAGATAGTACCACAGATGGTGGCTCTGGCTGTCATCTCCATCTTCACCTGTGCCCTGGGCCTGGGTCAGGCTGCTGTGCTCCAGTGCCCTCCTGTGCTTTATGTTTACCTTAAACCATAAAAGCTAGTGACACCCTTTTCTCTCAGCACATCTTGGCTTCTTGAAGAATTAGATAACAAAATCTCTCACAGGGCCCCTATCATAGATGCCTTTAAAAGATATCTATGTGTGTGTGTGTGTGTGTGTGTGTGTGTGTGTGTAGAGTTGCTATTTAGTTAGATGTTCTGAGATCAGGAGAGGAAGCGAGAGGAGGAGGAAAGAGAGAGGGATAAAGAAGAAAGGAGGGAGGATGGGAGAGAGAAACAGAGATAGAGACAGACAGACAGTCTAGGAAGGCTGTGGTCATGTTATATTTCTGGCTCCTCGGCTCTTATAGGGAAAGGAGACAACAATAAAATGTTATTTCTGCTTTGAGTCAGTTCTACTAGGCACATCTGAGGGGCTTTTCCTTCTAGGTTTTAGCCAGCACCTAGTTGTTTTTGGCTCCACTCTATAGCGCTGGGAAAGTGCCAAATATGGGTAGGATATTGAGTAGGATCTGTCTACAAGGAGGGATGGGGTCAGAGATTTTCTGGGTCTAGAGGCCATCTTTCAGCTGTCCTGTGAATCCATCCATGGGCAGAATTTTAGGAGGAAGATGTCACAGTATAATTCGTAATACTATTTTGCCACATACAGAATTTGGGGTGAGAATAGGTTTAGCACAATCCAGTTAAGACAGTAGCACAATCCAGTTGTGACAGCTAAATAGTGTATGGGAGGTTGACTCAAGGTTCATGGAAATACTAGTCACAGATTTATGTGCCTGCATATGTCTAACGTGTACTATATAAACATCTGTTTTGACTTCTATCTAGATGTCCCCTGACAGCCTCATGCAGTCATATGTGGGGATTTTCTGAGGTGGCTGGGTCTAGGGTGTATGCTGCTGGGATCAAGGGTATGATGCTAGGATTTATTTGTGGTGCCATGCTAGTATGGTTTGCTCCACTTTGGGAGTGAACGCTATGTTCCTAAGGGTGGGTAGCCTGGAAAAAATATAAGAGACAGAAAGAGGGTTGTTGTTTGGCACTTGTAGCTTGATTCTTGCTCTCCTCGGCCTTCTGCCTGCCATAAACCCTTTCTCCTCTTTGATGCCACCCTGCCTTGAATCCAGCCAACTATGAACTGAAACCTCTACAAACTGTCAGCCCAATAAACCTATCCTCCATTAACTTTGGGTTTCTGGTACTTTGTCTCAGCAATGAGAAAGGTAGCTAAGATAATATTTATTTTTGTTTAAATTAAAAAAAAATGTTTTATGGAAATGTACATTGAAAGCCTCATTTTGACCTCAAATTCATTCTCTTATCTCCCCTAGCTAACAGCCATTCCTCCAAGTTTCTTATATAGCCTTATACCATATTTCTATGCCAGTGCAAGCAAATGTAAATTAACATGAATCATTATGTCACAAGAACGATCTTGTTTTAAACTCTGTTCTGCATTTTGATTTTTCACTTAATGTATCACAGAGTTCTTTTATTTAGACAGTTGAAATGCACCCCAATGTAAACAGGCTCTGAGTCTAGCCTATCCATTCTGTGGGGGCCTGGTGAGTGCAGAGGAAACTGTTGGGGGCTGGTACTGAATTAAAAATAAGGTGACACCTGGGGATTTAGCTCAGCCCTGCCTGGCAAATGTGAGGTCATGGGTTTGATCCCCAGTACCAAAACGAAACAAAACAAAGTCACACAAAAGTGTAATATCAATAGCAAACTAAATTTTGTCTGGTTTTGAGAACTTTTCAAGAACAATGAATTATAAAAGAAAGATTAACTTCTTAATGGAGAAATAAATATTCATTTATATGCCATTCACCAAACATGGGCTGAAGAAGTTATTCAAGTCTTGGCCAGGTGCTTCATTCAAGAAAAACCAAGAAGACAGATTTGGGCCTTCAAATATTCCAGAAACTTTTCCCAATGACCTTCTCAGGAGGCAGTCTTGACACCTATTCTGTTCACTGCCACAACTGACACATAGAGCCATCTTCTGAACCTCTTCTCTTTCCCTTGCTTAAATTTTTTGGGTGGTTTCCTGTTTCCTAGGACTCACATCTACCCCTTTTGCTAGGTGTCCAAAGCCCTTGATGGACCCCATCTCCTGGCATGATCTGTCCCATTGTAGGAGGTCAGGGCAGATCAGAACTCAGCCTTGCCTATGCAGCCCTGAGGACTTGTCTGCCTGACCTCTCATTCTGGGCAAGACATTCTTTGCTTTTAGCTCTCTCTTTGTCTTGTTACTGTACCATCTTTAAAGTATCTTTCACATATTCATTCTCCTCACCGCTACCCCACCTAGGTCGGAGGCCAGCACACGGGGTGCAATTGTTTGCTACCAGCTGGGGAGAGTTAGTGCATCCTAGGCTAATGGAGGGAGGACAGGCTTTCAGGTCCAACTGGGGCTCCATCCCTAAGGATGTTCAGTCATCTTGATGAGGGGCACCCAGAGAACTTGATAACCTGAGGATGATGAATATGAGAGAATTCCCATGTAACATGCCCTTCAACGAGTGATTGTGTAGATGGGAGTGGGCTTATTTCCTCCTCCATGGACTGAATGTCACACCTCCCTGAGCTCTGGATGGCGAACTTGAAATAAGGACAGCTGAAGGTGCTGAGTGAGTTGGTTGGTTGAGGGCCACTGTGACTTAGTGTTGAAGTATGGGTCGCTCAGGCTTTAAATCTCTGTGAGGTGATTATTTGTTCCCCTGAGCTCCAAGTGTAACGCCTGCCTCTCTCCCCTATGGCTTGAAGAGGGCTTGAGCCTGTTTTTTGCACCCAGGGCTTCCAGTTCCAGGGCCATCCGACCAGACTGAGCATGCTCGCGGCCAGCCGGTGCTATTGAGGGCCAGACATCTGGTCTAGCAGCATGCGCCCTCCGCAGGCCGGGCGAGCAGGCTTCTTTAGCCTTTAAGCAGCCTGTCTGGTCTGAGGAGGTTTCTGTAGCCACTGGGCAGAAAAGGGACAGAGGTGAGGAGTGCAGAACGCACCTCCCAGACAGTCTCGCAGCCTCCCTGTGGTGCTCAGGGTTGAGGGCACCGAGCCAGCACGGGCGGCAGGGCGCGCTCTCTAGGCCGCGGGGGCGCGCTGCGCTACGCGGGTTCTGGCCGTGTCCCTAGAAGGAAGGAGAGGAGCAAGGGCGCCGAGGTGAGCACAGCCCTGGCGACGCAAGCCAGGGCGCCAGCACAGGCTCTAAGCGCTTTCTCTTTGACAGTGGTGGTGAATTGCCTTAAGCGATTCCCAACCTGGCCTCCTGGTGCCTTTCCCCGGGGCTGCCCGGAGGCCAGGGCTGGGCAGCTGTTGCACCAAGAGGGGGCAGCGGCGGAGTTCCGTAACCATAGCAACCACATCAGCACCACGGCGGCGGCAGCGGCGAGGGCAGCATCCTCTCGCTCCTCCTCCAGGCAGCAGCGCCGTGGGGACCTGAGATTCAGCTCGCAGGTGCCGCGCGCGACCTCCACCTAGGTCCTCTCACCGCCGCCGCAAGTGTTGGAGAAAAAAGGAACAGTGTGAGGGACCCCGGAACCAGAGCTGGGCCCAAGGAGGTGAGAGAGGGGAGCCCTGCAGTGGGAGACAGGTAGGTGAGAGCGCTCCGATCGGCAGCTGCAAAACTCTCTCCTCTGTGGCAGTGACGTTTTTGGAAGCGCGGTTGCTAGTTGGATGGCTTTCTATTACTGATCAGGGATTCTGCCGCGAAATCTGTTCATAGCTCTCTGTTTGCTCATCTCTCTGTCCTCCGGTATTGCCCACATACAGACAGTTCTTGAGAGGTCAAGAAGAAGCGTCGATGTGATGATGGGGAGACCCCGGGTTAGTGAAGTGGTCCCCACGCAAGTCCCACTTGGAGGCTTTGGGGCACCTACAGACCCTGTCAATTCGGATCCTTTGAGCCATTGAACCAGGGACAGGTTTCAAGGAAGGCAGTGTTGGTACAGAGGGGACAGTGGTAGCCTTTCTCTGTGGTCCAGCCTGATCCGGAGACCTTTTCTTCCCGTGCCTTGGTTGGGGCACAGGTTGTGTGCTTGTGTGTAGGTGGGCAGGTGGGGGGGGGTAGGCTGCAGCTCAGCTTTGGCACGCAAAAGGACCAGAGTGTACACTGGCTCTTGATCTGTAAAGCCAGCTTCAAACTCATCCAGCAAAGGGAATATTTAGACAAGGGAAACAGTATTTCTTACCAGTGTGGGCCCTGGGGTGTCCCTAGAGTTTAGCATGCTGTTGGCATTGGCCATTAGGAATTGGAATGAAACTGTAAGGTGGCTGTCAATGCTCTGTCTTCTCTTCCCTCACCTTATTTCTAGCCTGTTTGCTATTACCTGGATCAGTGACACCTTTGCCTGGCCATTAGGAAAGTATCCCACTTTCGGGCAGTTGGAGGTGCCCACTTGAGTTTTCCATGTGAACTACGGAGAGCATTATTTCTCATCAGGCTCTGATCCTCTGGATGCTAAGTGGTATTTTCCAACCCAGTGACATTTAGGCTGTCCACACTGCATCTGCAGGGCAGAGAGAGGACCAGAGGTTTGGATGTGATTTTCAACTAGCTCAGCTGGAAGCACAGCTGCATAAGAGAAGGGGAATATAGGCAGGTGAGAAATAAGGGTATGAAAACTCTTCCATATAGGTAAGTAGGTCTGTGGGCAATTTCCAGAACAGGCAGCCCTTGACTTTGATAGGGCTCTCCCTTTATACACTGGCCCCAAGGGACTCTGGTGAGCTCAGTTAAAAGGTTGTGTTCTTTAATTAGGTTTTTAATTTATGATGTAGTTATATTACCCGGAGGGAAACGACTTGGCCAGTATTTCATCTGAGGATTTGTGTCATAATGAGGATGACATTACCATAATTGAGGAAGGTGATTAGGTGTGTATAAAATGGGACACGATTTGGGAGGCAGACACATGGATTTGAACTCTGATTGTGTCACAAAGCTGCTGTGTGACCTTGAGTTTTCCCACCTTTCTGAGGTTCCAGGTTCCTTTCTCTTATCTGTAGAATGGGATACTAATAATTCTCAGAGTTTATTAGGCTTTTTCAATGATCAAGTTGGTTAGTGGAGAGGATGGAGAGCAACGACTTTTAAAAAACAAATGTTTCACGTAAATAAAATAAACTATTGTTCTGTTCTAAAGAAACTGTTCTTTGGATCAGCAAATCATTAAACAGCCATCAGCTAAGCAAAGGGAGTGTTAATGACACGCAGCTGAAACACAGTAGTCCAGAGATCAGAATACGATAAAGTGGTCTTTATCAGGGGAAAGTGATGCATGTTGTCCTCTTTGCTTATGAGAGCTGAAGGTCAAGAGCTTTTGAATGCAGTGATTGTCTAACTGGGAACAATGAGTTGTGCTCATTTCAGGGTGCAATCGAGCATTTGATAGTGGAAACAGAAATCCACACGCAGTGGGGGTTCATTTTTCTTGCTGGTTTGATGTATACAATGAACACACTGTGGACACCTTGGTGACTTGCTTAACTTTGTCCATTTCTGTGTTGTCATCCTATGCTTTCCAAATGTTTGCTCAGTTTGATGAAATTGGCTGAAATACTTACATCTTGAAATCTTAGCTGATGGCATCAGGATTTCTGGATGGATCCAGTGCTGTGCTGGCTTGTTCTCTGATCTTTTGTATCCCTCTGTTGCTCATGGTGGCCTCTCTGCAGAGATGGAACATCTCTCTTCCTTCTTCCCTTAATGACCCAGTTCAAATGCTCCCTTCTAGTGGACGTTTCCTAGGTCTTTCCTCTTGGGCCTTCACAATGCTTTGGGGTCTATTTTGTGACGATCTGTGCTTTCAGTACACACAATGAGACCCTTTCTAGACACAGTGCTTTCTGAGGCCAGGGACCTCTACCTGTTCCATCTTGACTGTGTCACAGCATCTGATGAAGTCCCTGTCACACTCAATGATATTTGACAAGTGAGAAGGTCTTACCTGCAAGCTGACCACCTGTGTGTAGAGAACATCACACAGCTCTTCCCTGACTTTTTTCTCTACTTCAGGGAGTGCAGGAATCCTGATAAATGTGTATTGGGTTGCTGTGCATTGTGTCAGGTTAGTTCACTGAATCACAGAGGAGAACAGACACACATACTTTGCCTCAAAATTTGGTTGTAATCCTGTGTTGACTACAGGTTTCATATAGCATTTGTTGAAAGTTTCTGATGGAGTGTTTTACTTACTTACTTAATTTTATTAGCACAGGTTGGCAGCACATGATGTTTATATGAGTACATGTATTTAACGTAACTTGATTCCTTTTATTCCTTTTCTTCTCCATCTCTAGATGCCATTTTCCCATCTTTACTATTGTTGTTAAGTTTTTACTTCATGATTGTGACAATGACTACACTCATTGTGGGTAGTTGGAGGTGTGTATGTCACACCTTACATATGTTTAAGCCCTTTATCTCAACTCATTTCCACACTCTCAATCTTTTGGTTCCCTTTTGATTTGAAGAAAATTTCTCTGGTTCCTTCTATCAGTCTTTCATTTTGTTCTTTATTTGTACTTTGGATTACTCAAATGCAGGGAGTTATATGGCACTGAAGGTTGTGTGCCTTACTGGTTTGGTTTCATTTATCACTATGTTTCAAGTCATATCAATTTCCCTGAAAATTACTTGGGTTTAGACTTCTTTGTAGCTGAGTAGTATTCTGTTATATATGTCACATTTTCTTTTCCACTCATCTCTTGCTGGACATAAAGGGTGCTTCCAAGATATGATTATTATGAATTGTGATACTGTAAGCCTTGGTATACGTGTATCACTATGATATGATAACTTCAGGTCTTTTGGAAGCTACCTAGAAGGGAAACAGCTGGATCAAATGATACTTCTATTTTTAGATTTTTGAGAACTTTCTATACTGATTTTACAATGGTGGTACTAGTTTACATTTTCACCAACAGTGTAGAAAGGTCCCTTTTTCATTATAGCCATATCAGAATCTGTTATTATTTGATGTCTTCATAATTGGCATTCTTTATGATGTAAGATGAAATATTTATATGTTGCAATTTGCATTTCTTTAGTGACCAGAGATGTTGAACATTTTTCATATGTTTATTGGCCATTTGTGCTTCTTTTACTAAGAAGTACCAATTAATTTTATTTCTCCATTTGTATTGAGTCTTTTATTTTGGGAGGGCCCATTTTTTTGAGTTTTTAAATATATTCTATATCATAGATCTCTCTCTCAGGAATAGGTTGACATTTTTTCCCAATCTGTAAGTTGTCTCTTCACTCTGTTGATTGCTTCCTTACTGATTGTTTCTTTTGCTGTGATGCACTGTTTTGTCTCTTGAATTTAGTACCTCGAGTCAGCCCTCATATAATGTGAAAACATGAAAGTTGGCTTATGAAGGCCTAAATTCAGACATGGGTTTTAACAAGACCTGGCACCGGGTACCTGAGCTCCTTGTTTCAGTCTCCTCAGTTGTAAAGTGTTCTTGGCTTTCTCAATGTAAAGGGGTGCTGAGTGCTGTGAATGAACTGATTGCAATGCAGTAAAAAGCTTTTCGTAAACTGTATAGTATTATACCCAAGAAAATTCTGCTTTTATTTGATTTTTGTTCTAGAGAATGGGCAAAATCTTTTTGCTAATTACATGGCATGTGACAAGTTGGGCTTCTTCCCTGACTCCTCCACTTACTATCCCTGTGTCACTTTCAGCACATCATCTTGCTTCCCCAACCATTTGCTTTATTGTGTAGTATTATAATGACAGCTACCTTTCCAGATGGGTTTGGGGAGGTGTATGTAAAAAGTGGCATGGAATTTCTACATGATAGATATAGTTGCAATTTACAGAAGGCTTTAGCATTTTTAAAAATACTCAAAATATATTTCCTCCTCATATTTTACAAGGGGGGAGAGAGAGTCAGAGAGAATATGAAAAGATAGGTAGCAGTTTGTAATCTATTTTTCTTTTTTTTTTTTTTTTTTTTTTTGCACGTGAGATTTCCGGAAGGAGCACAAGAAGCTAAAGGTACAGATTTAGGGACTGAGTCTATGTCTGTCACTGGCTTCTGACTGCTGTTCTCCATTCTGAATTTCAGTTTGTTCTTCTATTAATGTCCTGGATGATTTTAATCACTCTGCCTGGCTCATTCACCTCATAGAGGTTACATGGATGGTGCTCAGGTCAGCCTTTACCAAAATTATATGCTTCAGTGTGTTCATTATACACCCATACCTCTGTCGCCAAATTTCTCTTTCTTTTGAATTTTTTACACTATAAGGCTAATGTGTCCAAGATGATCCCGGCACTTATGGAGTTGTTGACTGCTCCATTCCATCCCTCCTGTCCAAACCTAACTCTCATCTGCCCCTAGACAAGATGGTCTCTGTTTTTTCCAACCTAGCATTTCTTTTTTATTCAACATACAATAACCTGTATGCAGGGAACCCAATTTTACCTTCAGGAACTGGCAGAAATTCATGACATCGCTAGTACTGGCTGAGCTTGGGAGACACAGGGTGCTCGGCAATGTCAAATGTTTCTGCTCCAACATGAATCATTTCCAGGTGGATGCACACCAATTTTAAGAGTTAATACTGAGGGAGATTTCAGC